CAAAAACTGTTTTTCATTTCCACAAAAAAAAACGAAACTACTTTTCGAACAGCCTAATAATTTTATTTATTTAGTTTAAAGGGATTTGAAATTCATACCCGAATGTTTCTTCAAGAACAATGATTTGTAAGTGGACTGCTTTGTTTCAAAATAGTCGTATAAGTTCTGAAGATGATCTATGGGGTGAACATACAAAAGTGTATAAATAACAGCAATCATTTTTAAAATACAGATTTGGGTTTTAGAAAATAAATCGAAAATAATAATTATTTTAAAAATAATTAAAAAATATATAAATATATTTTATATATGTATCATATGTATTATAAATATGTATCATATGTATTACATATATGTATCATTCTGTTGATTTTCATTCTTAATATTATACAAGCTCTATATGCAAACGTGTTTGGAAATAAAACTTAAAAAATAATAATTAAATTTGCTTTATATATTGTACTTTTCAAAAATAATTATTATTATATGCCTTTCACTTTTCCACGCACAAAAAGCTCATAAACTCTGCTATTTATTTTAAAACTCACAAAATAATAATTTTTTTATTATTTTTCACATTTTAAAATGGTCCCTGGTTTTAGGAAATCTTCGATTGGTTTAGAGAGATTTAGTAGAAGTTCTAGTTAACTCATTAGGTACACTTAACCCATATCCGCCCAAGGATTTTTTTTTTTGGAATTTTTAGTCGAAATGTTTTTTTTTTAATTTAATTAGTAAGGGAGAGTGGGGTGTGGGGTGATGTCACAAATATTTTTGTAAAGCTAAAGCTTCATACATTCAAAGTAATAACATATATAAACTCTAAAGTTTTTCTAATATAAACAAAAAATCCATGAAAAGTAGTAAAATTTGCTGTTCGATTAATCGAACGTTGGGCGGATATGGGTTAAAGGAATATTCAAAACTATTAGAGAATATAAGTACCAGAAATTTTCGTAAAAGTTAAGAATATGTTTATCGAAGAATTTTCATTGGTCAATAGAGATTTAATAGAAGGTCTAGGTATCGCAATATGTGTGTAGTTAGCAATATTTTATTGCTCACTAGAGAAGATAACTAAAAAGTAAAAGCTGCGTCGTGAGTATAACCGGCACACCGATGACAATACTTTTAGTGAATCTTTCATCGCAGCCTTGTCTCAGTAGTGTCTATAGTATGGTTAATCCATTTTCCCTTTTTCGTATTACCAAAAGGGCAAAAGGGTGAACAATTGTTGGATCAAAAGAATCAAGTTAAAAGGGTTTAAGTTAATCATTCAAAAAAAAATGTTGTTATATGTTTTAATTTTTTTTTTTTTTTAAATTTATTGACTTGCCTCATATCTTGAGGTTCAAAATATTTGAAAAAAAAAATAAATGTTAAAATAAAGAAAGCACAGTGGTGCTTTGTTTTATAGTGCTATACTGATATTTAATGTTGAGCCTTTTCCGAGTTAGTGCATCTGGGCACTTTTACTCTTTGATAGCTGGGGAGTTTCTGCAGAGTCCCACTCATCTCACTGATTAATTTGTGTATTCTTCATAAGCTACGTGATTATTCAATGACTGATTTAAGATCTGCGTACCGCCCCGTCCGGTTATTAATACCCTGTTCGTAATATCAAGGCTAGTAAGTAGTGGTATCCATTTTCTTAGCGCGCTTTGCTGTTTGCATTAAAAATTGTAGGTGTTAGCTTTCTCAGCTTGTTTTATTTATACGGTCTTTTAGATTAAATTATTGGTTTATTCACAGATTTCCATATTAAGCGCCAATAAATGTGTAATTTTTTTTCTTTCAAAATAAATTAATAACTTAAACTGAACGATAATACAGCTTTACATTGGCACTATTCAAAATTTATTCATATATTCAGTTTTGTAATTACATAGCAATCGTTTAGCACTTCAATTTTACCCTCCATTAATTGCTTTCAAATTTATATTAATAGTTAGTATTTGTTTTTAAACTGTGTTTAGCTACTATTTAGCATATAAGTGTAAGGTGTATTCGATGAAGTACTTAAAAAAATTGGCGAAGCACAGAGCATATGTGTTATATCTTCTGTAGTTGGATTGATGAAGAAGTGGGTTGGGGAAGATACGATATCGGGTAGAAACGAAGGTGTCAATTAAAAACTCATTTTTTTCCCTCTATTTTATTATAACTATGTTAGTTACTTTATGACTACACTGCTACAAGTAATGTATTTGTCGTTTTGTTCGACATTGATTTTTATTTACGATATATAATATTTTATCTAATGTTTTTTTTTTGTTGTTGGTGGTAGAAATCAATAAAATGCACATTTATCTATACTTCGTATGAAATCGGAGCTTCCTAATCTAATAGTTCTTCACACTTATAGACTTCATTTTCTGATACGCGCTATTAGTGTTTTCTTTTTGCTTGGCTTGTAACGAGGCTAGTGACTTTGCTCATAATTATTACAAAAAGTGGAGAAAAGTGTGTCATTTTTTTTTAGTATTAAAACATCGATATTCATTGAATATGGTTAGTACAGGTAATTTGTAAGTAAATTCAACATTAATATGATATTACAGTCCATTCACCTCTTATCTGCTCTATTTACTTGTTTAGATTAACAATCGAGAAACTATTTTGGAAGAACATTTAATGGTCTTACATAACTTTTACTTTCTATATACTAGCATTTATTATATACTTTATTTGTAAACAACAATATATATATTATTTGCTTCAAATAATGTTTAACTGTACTCTATTCATCGTCTACCAATTGTCATGAATATGAAGTAATAATATTGTCATCCAATATTGGAAGACATAATTCAAATCCTAAATTGTCTCTAAAGCACTGAAAACATACCAAAACAAACCGGGCTTTCTATAAATAATACTAATAAGAAGATTTGTTAAGTAAGCACGATTTATTTAGTTCAATATAGTTTCTTTTTGCATCCATTCAGCGATTTAAAACAGAGTTGTTCAGCCTATAGCTCTCGTAGCCATCTTTTTTTTCTATGAGATGTGTGGTATATTTTATACTTTCTTACTATTTGAATCACTCATTCAGAAAGGATGGGAGAAACTCAAAACTATATATTGACTAAAACAACTTTCACAATTCAAATCACTTATAGAGACTTTCTACCTACACTGCCTAAAGGATTATGTCTAATTAAAAAAAACAACTTAAGAATCGTTATAGAACTTCTGAAAGTGCATTGTAGGTTTTGTAATCACTTTACTAGACTAAGAACGGAAGTAAATGTAACCTCAAAGCATATGCTTTGAGAGTCTGTCGTAATCAAAATATGCATAAACGAAGGGAATGACTCGTTTAGTTCAATAATTTTTTGTGAAAGTCTCACTAAGAAAAATACTCTAAATCCATTAAGGGAATTAGATTTCTAGATCGCATTGCTAACTTCACTGACTTAATAATAACAATATTGTTATTTAAAAATTCATATATAATAAATCAAAAATTATTTGGTATACATAGGGATGCAAACTGTAGATTCTGTAAAGAGAATGAGGAGTCAGCCACATATGTGCTGTTAGAATGCCGTGCGCTGATACACATATGGAATAGGCTCCTGAGAATGTATATACTTACGAAAGAAGCAATAAAACTCTGTAAAGTAGGTCCTACACTACTTTTTATTGACGCAACAGGGCTTTGAGACCTACTCTAAACTCAGTAGGGGGCACAATAGACCTGATGGTTACAGTGTCACATCCCCTAACAATAATAATAAATTAAAAATTATTTCAAGACATGAAATTCTATTTAAAATACTACTGGGTTTCAATAGTTGTGGTTTCAATATATTTTTTAATATTCTATTATATGGATTGGTTAAACTTCCTCATAAATATTTCGTGGTCAGTAATGGTCTAAAATCAGGCAGAGTGGGTGTGTTATATCTTTTGTCAAAATGTTTACTCGAATATTGGGTTTTATGTTTTTAAAACGTCTTATGTATTTTTCTAAAAAAGTAAAAAAAATCCATGGTGCCAACTCAGGTGCCAACTGAGTTTTAAGACCCCACAGACTTTAATAAAGTCAACAATTTTAGTAATTTTTTCTCGCTACGCTATAAACTGCTATAGTTTAAATGTCAAGATATCGAATTTTAATATTCATTATTACATTGATTATACAAGTAACAAATAGTCACGGCATATATGGTAACGATAAAAGATTAAATTTTTGCAATGATTACACAAGCGACGATTAATAATAATTAGGCACGCTATTTGATGTTTTGTTGGTACTTTTCAAGTAAACATATAAAATTTTAAAGGCCAATATAACAATAATAGTACTATGTTGATATATGGGCCAGTAGGAAAAGACGCTCAAAATTAGGGACAATACGTATATTTATATTATATAGAATTAATTATATAGAATTATATTTCGATACTCGTTGCTTTCTTCATATGTTTACTTAGTATCTTAAGAAAAGTACTTGGTTTCGAAATACAAGTATCTTAAGTTCACACAACTTCTATTGAAAATATGATTAGGATTTAAAAATAAACATATAGTATATATATACATATATATATTAAAATATATTTATAACTTTTCTAATATTACTTTTTAGAGTAGGGATAGCATGATATCTAACAGTTTCAATATTATTGACATAAATACTCATATGAGTACTTTGAAAGTATCGATACTGACTTGTATTCATGAGTACTTTTGTACTTTTAAATACGACATAAGATCAGTATTTACTGTTACTCATTAGTAAAAGTTTATAGGGATATTTCTAAAGTACTAATATGAGTACTCATTTATTAAGTATCCCTGACAATAATTATTGATACTGTTAGATATTGTGCTAACCCTACTCAGAACAGTCGATTTTAACGAAATTCGTCACAAAGCGAGATAGTCGCAAATCTTAATCATATCCTTATAATATTTGTTATTGTATATATATAGTATACTTAATATATTAAAACCTTTACCAATATATTTTTCTATTCGATATTTTTAGAATTCGATTGGAAATGGATTATATCAAAATCACAAAATCAACGGTAGCAACGGTAGCAAAACTTCAAATGAGTTCAAACCATCAGCAGCTGATAGAATTTTACCTCCTGCTCAGGAACACATTCAAAAAACCTCTTTCGAAGAGGTGCCACTACACACAGCCTGTCTTACATATTTAGGTTTTTATTTACTTATGATACTAGGCTATATAAATCAATTATTATTTGTACCAAAAGTGGCAAAAGAAGAACATCGAGATGGTTATGTTACACTGTACGATGCTTTCGAGAGTTTTTACTCACGCTATGTGTACAGGCGAGTGCGAGATTGCTGGAATCGACCTATATGCAGTGTGCCGGGTGCAGAATTGACATTAAAGGATCGTGTAACACACGATTACGGTTGGAGTTTTGAATTCACTGGTACAGAAACACGCTGCCTTAATTTAGGTTCATATAACTATCTGGGCTTTGCCGCAGCTACTGGGGCTTGTGCTGATAATTCAGAAAAAACTGCACGAGAGGATGGCTTGTCATTAGCTAGTTCGCGTGTTGAATTAGGAACAACACAGCTTCATAATGATTTAGAAAAGCTGACCGCACGTTATTTGGGTGTCGAAGATGCTATTGTTTTTGGCATGGGTTTTGCTACGAATGCACTTAATTTGCCATCATTACTAACCCCAGGTTGTCTTGTGGTTAGTGATGAAAAAAATCATGCCTCAATAATATTGGGTATACGTCTTTCTGGCGCTACTACAAAAGTATTTAAACATAATAATATGCGCGATTTGGAACGTGTTTTAAGGCATAACGTTGTGAATGGTAATCCTAAAAATGGTGGTAAACCTTGGAAAAAAATTTTAATCATAGTCGAAGGTGTCTTCAGTATGGAAGGTTCTATTGTTCGTCTTCCGGAAATTATAGCACTCAAAAAGAAATACAAAGCTTATTTGTATTTAGATGAGGCACACAGTATTGGTGCGATGGGTCCAAATGGTGGAGGTGCTGTAGATTATTTTGGAATAGATCCACATGATGTTGATATTTTGATGGGTACATTTACAAAAAGCTTTGGTAGTGCTGGTGGTTACATTGCTGGATCAAAAGTAAATAATCATTCATTTATATTCTTATAATTCATTTAAAAAATAATATTTTTTACAATTTTATTAGAAACTTGTTGATTTCTTGCGCGCCAACAGTCATGCACATTGTTATGCTAGTACAATGTCACCGCCAATAGCTCAACAGATTTACACTTCTATGCGTATTATAATGGGACTTGATGGAACAGATATTGGAAGAAGAAAAATCAATCAATTAGCGCGCAACACACGTTACTTCCGTAGGCGTTTGGCACAAATGGGCGTAATCACATATGGTCATGAAGATTCGCCTGTGGTGCCGATGTTAGTATATTTGTTTTCCAAAATCGGGTAAGAAATAGATTTTGGTTATTCTATATAATTAATATTAACATTGCATTATTTTTGATATATAGTGCTGTCGTACGTACTCTAACTACCCGACATATTGCTGTAGTAGGAGTTGGATTCCCTGCTACACCTATTATGGAAGGACGCATACGTTATTGTTTGTCGGCTGCACACACCAAAGAACAATTGGATTATGCGCTTGATGTTATCGATGAAATAAGCGATAATTTGGGTTTGAAATACTCAAGAAAGAGACGAGACCCATATCCAATTGAGTATTAATATAAAATACAACACACAAACACATACATTTACACATATACACATATACATGATATATCATACATATTTAAATGAAGGAGAAATATGTAACGAGAAGTATAGAATTTAACTATATATACAGCTATAGATAATTAAAATTTTTCGGATCTTTAAACTGCTAACTTTTGAATACAGCTTAAAATTCTTTTAATTAAAATTGAAATAATAATTCCGTATTTCAAAAATCTAGATTTATAAAAGAATTTTGGGTGCGTTTGCATCATTTATTTACAAATAAAAGTTATTAAATAAAAATTATTAAATAAAATTTATTTAAAATTTATAATTTTTAATTTAAAATTGATAATTGATTTTCAATTTTGAATTTAAAAATATTTTATTTCGAAATTACTTATTATTTGCTTTATATAAAACAAAAATTTAAAAAAAATGAGTTATTAAAAATATATGACTGATTTTAAACTCTAAAATTATGAATATTTTATTTCTAAATTGGAATTAGAAAATTTTAATTTAGTATTTAACTTTTTTTTGGGTTTTTGTATGTAAGGAATAATTTTTAAAAATTAAATGTATCTGCAATATTGTTAATATTGTTAAATATTTTAAATTTGTCAGATTTTCATACTCAATTTGCAAACCACCCAAAACTAAACAAAATAAAATCGCAAGATCAAAATCTTTATACTAAATGTATTTACAAATCACTACTCAGTTTTACTTTAGTATCAGCAAAAACGTTTAAATAGATACAATTCAAGACGAGCTACTTTAATTGTTAAAAAATTTAAAACTAATGTAAAGTTGAGATAATTAAATCATAAAAAAATTATTTTAAGCTTTATTCTAAGTTTATACAATTATTTGCTGAAAATATATTTAAGTGGTTTATATAGAACTCAATGCCTTTTTATAAAAAATTAAGAGAACTTCATTTATAAGTGAAATGATTGTAGCTAGTGCTTCAAATACTATTCGAGCTCTTTGAAACTTCTAGCATTTTATGTTCGAATATTTTGCGTCTACACTGGCTTCATTTTCGAAAAGATTTTTTTTTGCACAGACTCACATTTTTTCACTCAATCCTAGTACTCTAATAACTATTTCGCACGAAAAATTGACATTAAAAAAAATTCCAAAAAATGTTGACATTGTAATAAATTTTTTTGGAAGTAAAATTCGAAAATAATATATATTTGCTTTCGAACATAAAAATCTTGCTAAAATCTAGCCAGAGCAGAACATTTCGAACACCATATATTAACTTTAAATAGTTCGGGCATATCTGACGGTTCATGGTGTTCGACGCAAATGTTCGAATTCGAACTGCACAAACAGTTTGAAGCACTAATTTTAATATAAGTTTTGGTTCTGTTTACAACTTATTTAAAATTAATTTGTAAGTCGCACTAAAATTTATTTTTTATATTAATATTTAAAGAAAAATAAAACATTTATTATTCAAAATATGTATAGCATTTATTTTAAGTTATTTACACAAGAGATGTTTATATATACCTGCTTATATATTTTATGAATTTTTTTTATTGTTAAATAATTATAAACAATTTTTTTTTCAATTATAAACATAAGCTGCAGAAAGATTTCCGTTATTATTTAAAGCAAACACTGATCCTCTGTGAATATTTATTATTTAAAATTACATTTTTTATTTTATTTTATTATTTGTATGTATTTAAAAATTGAGCTTTAGCTTGAAAATGTACGCGAATTACGTTTAACAATAAAAGATAACGTTTTTCATTTGTTAAAAAAATTAAAAAAAATCATGTTTTAATAATTATTTGTATATAAAATTAGTAATTTTCGTTTTTGTATAATAAACACAGTTTTCGTGCTTCGAAGATAATCTCAGGCCTTTCAAGTGGTCATAAATTGTTGAATTGGATAAATTTAACCTCAATCCGATCTCACGCTGGTTCGCATCAACTAATGTCTTTTTTACTTCTTTATCAACTTCAACCGACCTTCCCGAACGTGGTGCATCTTCGACATTAAAATTGCCGGATCAAAATTTAACGAAACAGTTCTGGTATTGGCGTACTGTCAACACACCTTCTCCATACACATCGGTCAATTTCTTGCTGGCTTGAACAACATTTTTACGCTTTCTGTGGTAAAACTGTAAGATATGTTGAAAATGCTGCTTATCGCTCTCCATATTTAAAAGGGCACCAACCAAAAACTACTACGTAGAATTAATTAGAATTTTTCAACCAAGCCTTACTATATGAGCTCTCAAAGCATATAAAAATTATACGGCTTAACTGTGAAGTTGGGTGCAAAAAAATACAATTACATCCTCTGTCGGGATAAAACGAAATTACTTTCCGAACAACCTAATATTATATTTGTTAGACAGGTTTCAAAAAGTAGTGAAATACAAGTACAAAAATATTTACATATTATTTTAATTAATTGCTAAATACCCATTATCAAATATCTTAGTACTTGCAGTCTCAACAAAATTATTTACAAATAATTAAATACATATATGAAATTGTGGCGACCCAGTTGGCTGTGCATTTATTGAATTTAAAAAGTAAAATTCAATTTCAAATATTTTTAAGTTTTTGTTTTGATTGATGAGAACGTTTCGATTTTTCTCTCTGTAAAAAGTTGAATAAAAGTTTATTAACATTGAAAATTTTTAGAGTTTTATTAATTAGCAAGGTGAACAGATCATTGCTAAATTGGTGACCCCGACGTGATCTCGAAAAAGTTTAAATTTAGAAATATTAACTTCTGAGCTAAATATCTAATTATCGAGCTGTGATGTCAGTTGCAGACGAAGGTGTAGTAATGGCTTCTGATAGTGGAAGTGTCGTAAACCGTGTAGCAGTGAAGGTGCCACCGTTTTGGCACGAGCGACCGGAGATTTGGTTTGCTCAGATCGAGGCGCAATTTGCAGTAGCTGCCATTACGAGTGACATCACACAGTTCAACACGGTAGTAGCAGCGATTGAGTCAAGTGTTATCGCCGATGTAAGTGATGCAGTGCTTCATCCTCCTGAAACTGGAAGATACGCTAATTTAAAGGCTTGCATCATAGAGCGGTACAGTGAGAGCGAGCAGCGGAAGATTCAACGGTTGTTGTCAGAAGTTGAACTTGGTGATAGACGCCCAACACAGTTGCTAACGGAGTTGACAGCGTTAGCTAAAGACAAGGTGAGCGATGAGTTCCTTAAGTCTCTTTGGCTGAAGCGTTTGCCACCACAAGTGCGCGCTATTCTGCAGGCATCGAACGTGGCACTAGCAGAATCTGGCGAAATTAGCAGATCGTATTTGCGAGGCGGGTGATTTTCAACAGATAGCTGTAGCGTCAGCCTCTGATTGTCCAGCCTATTCTGAGAATGCTGTGATTTTACGAAGGCTTGAGCAAATCGAACAGCGTCTGAGTCGTTTGGATTTACGTCGTAGTGAGTCGGTGCAAAGTCGATCGTCATCGAGGAGGCGTAGGCGAACTCGTTCCCGACCAGGAAGTCATCCAGATTGGTGCTGGTATCACGAAAGGTTTGGTGATAGAGCTAATGCTTGTCGGCAGCCCTGTAGTTTTGTGGCAAGCTCTCATCAGTCAAAAAACTAGGCACTCCTTCTACGTCGTCGAGCCGAGAAGGGGTTAGTGTTCGTATAGCTCGACTTAGTATTAAAGATCCCGCCACGTCGACCGTTTTCCTCATTGATACTGGTGCGGACATATCAGTTTTACCGAAGTCGTTCTGTCGTTGGAAGCAAAGGGCTAACAGTGTTGCATCAGTTAATTTATATGCCGCTAATGGTACGCCTATTCAAACATTTGGCGAGCGTCGACTGCTTTTGTCTTTGGGTTTGCGTAGAGATTTCCCGTGGACGTTCGTGATTGCGGATGTTAGCTGTCCTATTGTTGGAGCCGACTTCCTTAATCACTATGACTTGTTAGTGGATTTGAAAAGGAAGCGGTTAGTTGATTCGAAGACGACTTTGATGATGAAGGGTAAGGCTGCTGTGTCTCAAGAAGATACTGTGCGTGTGTGTGGTTCAGTTTCAGCTTATGCTGAGCTGGTTAATGAATACCGTGATTTAGGCATTATGAGTGCAAATCGGATGGGTTTAGTTACTAAGGTTGAACATTGCATCGAGACATTTGGTGCGCCGTCATTTGCTCGTCCCCGACGTTTAGTTGGAGCCAAACTTGAAGAAGCCAAGAAGGAATTCCAATTTTTAGTCCAGACAGGGATTTGTCAACCTTCGAAAAGCTGTTGGGCAAGTCCACTTCACATGGTTCGCAAAGGCGATGGAAGTTGGAGACCGTGTGGCGATTATCGCATGCTCAACGCGCAAACTAAACCTGATCGGTATCCGATTCCGTTCATTCATGATGTGACGAGTATTCTTCATGGTAAAACTATGTTTTCGAAGATAGATTTGCAGAAAGCGTATCATCAGATACCGCTTGCACTGGCAGACATTCCGAAGACAGCTATTACAACTCCGTTTGGCCTGTTCGAGTTTCGCTTTATGACTTTCGGTCTCCGTAATGCTGCCCAGACGTTTCAGCGTTTTATGAATGAGACTCTAGGTGATCTTAATTTCGTTTTTGCGTACATCGACGATATTTTAATTGCGTCAAAAGATGAAGCAGAACACAGAATGCATTTGCGACTGGTTTTAGATCGACTTAGAGAAACTGGTTTGACCGTGAATTTTGCCAAGTGTAAGTTCGGCTGTTCCGAGATCGAGTTCCTTGGGCACGTTATTAGTGCAAAGGGTTTACGTCCTCCGGAGAGTAAAGTTCAAGCTGTTCGTGATTTTCCTCTGCCAGCAACGGTTAAACAGCTTAGACAATTCTTAGGCATGGTGAACTTTTATCGGCCGTTTCTGCGTAACGCTGTGCAGAATCAGCAGCGGTTGTTTCATCTTACACCAGGTAACCGCAAGAATGATAAGTCGGTGATTTCTTGGACTCCAGAAGATGTAGAGGTTTTTGAGGCTTGCAAGAATGATCTTGCCCAAGCTACGTTGCTTAACTTCATGGCTCTGGATGCACAATTGACGCTCACGACTGATGCTTCAGACGTTGCGGTGGGTGCTGTTCTCCAACAAGTAGTGAAAGGTGTGACTCAGCCATTGGCATTTTATTCAAAAGGTTTGAGTCCAGCGCAGACTAAGTATAGTGCTTATGATCGTGAG